ACTTTTGCTAAACAGTGAGTTTGAGTCCAGCCTAGGATACTTGAGACCCTGTCTCAAAACTAAACAAAACAATGGCAATGACAGCAACAACAACAGTAACAAAACCCTTATGGGATGTTTCGTCTATCAGGGGTTAGAGAGAGAATTATGGCCTGAATAGGTAGGTTCTCCACTCTCATAAACTCACAGCCCCATGCTGGAGGCAGCTATGTGATTAGTGGGTTCTGAATCTTATAGCAGGTGCCTTTGGGGATGTAGAGGATGAGCTGTAAGATGTGACGAGCTCTCCTGACTCAGTCACAGTGGTCAGAAAGGCTTCCTGCAAACTCCACTTGTCGCAGAATCAGTATAATGGGAAAGAGGGAGTCAAGGGTACTTTATTGAAGAGAGAAGTCACTTACAGGGGAAATGCTCTATTGGTCTCTGAGCTGCGGCTAGAATCCAAGAGAGAGATTTATTTTCTCTTTTCCATTTTATCTCTTGCCTGTCCCACGTACCCATGTCCATGCCCCTTACAGTATCTTGGGTATGTGTGTGGGCTCTCCCCTACACCACGTCAAGAGGGTAATGCTGCTATTTACCTGTGGGAACCAGAGCCTGCTTCTTAGTGCTATTGGGTAGAGAGCAGGGAGGGGCTGGTGAGAGGGAAGGAGGCATGCTGGAGAGCCTGAACTCTTTCTAAACATTCCAAAGGCCACAGACAAGACTATGCCATCCCTACACTCCCCTTTGTCTTTGCCTGCGGTGGAGGGCAAGGCCCCCCATTGGCTATGAATTGCTCACTATTTGTGGTGGTTTGAAAGAAAACAGCTCCCAAAGGGAGTGGCGCTATTAGGTGTCGTCTTGTTAGAATAGATATGGTCTTGTTGGAGGAAGTGTGTCACTGTAGAGGTAGGCTTTGGGGTCTCATATATGCTCAAGCCATGCCCAGTGAGACAGACTACTTCCTGTTACCCAATGGTCAAGTTGTAAGAACTCCCAGCTCCTCCTCTAGCCCCATGTCTGTCTGTATGCCTCCTTGCTGCCTGCTGAGATGATAATGTACTAAACCTCTGAACTGTAAGTGAGCCACCTCAACTAAATATTTTCCTTTACAAGAGTTGCCGTGGTCATTGTGTGCCTTCACAGGAATAGAAACCCTAAGACACTGTTTTTGTATCTACCAGCCTTCTTTGCTGTGTACCACTCTGGTGGAGGGTGATTCTGGTAAGCACCACAAGCGGTCTCTGTTCTGGTGCAGGGGGTTAGCACCAGATCTGGGGGCATTGCCTGGCATACTTCCAGCACCATTTTGTCTGAGGAACCCCAGGGCTGGTGGTGTCAAGTGCCCCAACAGCTCCCTGTGCGTGCTTACCCTACCCCACCTCTGGGAGCCCCCTCCAGCCAAGCACTGTGTCTTAGTTGGGCTCTTTTCTCCAACAAGGAGTGTGGTACGTTGATGACAGCTTTGGTCATCATCATTGTCATTAGTGTTCTTTGCCTCTACACCAGCTACCTCACCATCACAGTGACACCTCTTCTGTCTAGGACTGAGCATTTATTGGTGTCATTGACTTTATTTTCCACAATGTTCAACTTCACAGCCAGCAAAGGACCTGGTTTGGTCTGCCTCCCAGGCCCACCCTTATTTTACTTGTTCTAAAACAACCACAGGACACCTATTGGGTACAGAAGTAGACACCTCCCCCTGAATAGGAATGGGGTGGAAATTCTCTTCCTGGGAAGTAGGCAGCCACGTGGGAGTAGGGAATCCTCCTCCCACTTATTTCTCATCTCTGGGCTTCAGATTCCTTGCCAGAGACTCCATTTATGGAAAAGAATGGAGGCAAATGAAGAAATGAGGGCACTGGGGTGGGTTGTCATCGCTGACTTTCTGAGCCACGGAAAATCCATGGTGTTGACCAACTCTTTTAATTGAGACAGGATCTCTCACTGGTCTGGAATTCACCAAGTTTACTAGTTATATGCCATGACACTTGGTCTAGCTTCTTCTTCTTCTTCTTCTTCTTCTTCTTCTTCTTCTTCTTCTTCTTCTTCTTCTTCTTCTTCTTCTTCTTCTTCTTCTTCTTCTCCTCCTCCTCCTCCTCCTCCTCCTCCTCCTCCTCCTCCTCCTCCTCCTTTTCCTCTTCCTTCTCCTTTAAATGTGGGTTCTGAGGGTTGAGCTCAGTAGATGCAAAGCAAAGATTTTTCCCAACTGAGCTATCTCCCAATCTAGACATACAGTAACCTGGAATGATCTCTTCCATCTCGGCCGTCACAAGCCCCCATCACCTTTGGGGCTTCTCTCTCTTTTCTCAGACACAAATATGAATAAAACCAAGTTCTTTCCTGCCACCTGAGCCCCCCTCCCCAGGCATGACTTAATATATACTGGAATTTCCCAAAGGTGCTTCCAGCAGGTCTAATAGAAATCTTGGGTAAATACCAAGAAAACAAAGGGAATTAAAAACCCTTAGCAAATTGCCATGTTTAACATGTAAACAATGAGTGGTGGAGGGAGACAATTGAAGAAACCCTTTCATAATAGACTGAGCCTCTTCCTGAATTTTTTGGGCCTGTGAATTTTTTGGTGTTAATAAAACATTTCTTTGGGTGTTAATAAATAAGAAATAGCTCTGGGGGCTGGAGAGATGACTAAGAACACTTGCTTCTCTTGCAGAGGACCCAGGTTCAGTTCCCAGCACCCACTTGGTTGTAACTCCAATTTTAGGGGGATCTGAGGCCCTTGTCTAGCCTCCATGGGCCCCCTCTCTCTTTCAAAACATACACTAATAAAAAAGTCTTAAAAACTGAACAAAATGAATTTTTTTATAATTAGAACTCCAGGGAGGAGTGCAATCATTGTTTTTATTTGAATTCATTATGGCATTTATTTAACTTCTGTTTCTCCTTTCTTCTCCTCCTTTTTTATCTTTTTGAGACAAAGTCTCACTACATGGTCCTAGCTGGTCTGGAAGTTGCTGTGTAGACCAGGCTGGCCTGGAACTCATAGAGAGCCACCTGCCTCTGCCTCCTGACTGCTGGAGGCGTGCACCACCATGCCCAGCTCATAGAGAGCCACCTGCCTCTGCCTCCTGACTGCTGGAGGCGTGCACCACCATGCCCAGCTCATAGAGAGCCACCTGCCTCTGCCTCCTGACTGCTGGAGGCGTGCACCACCATGCCCAGCTCATAGAGAGCCACCTGCCTCTGCCTCCTGACTGCTGGAGGCGTGCACCACCATGCCCAGCTCATAGAGAGCCACCTGCCTCTGCCTCCTGACTGCTGGAGGCGTGCACCACCATGCCCAGCTCATAGAGAGCCACCTGCCTCTGCCTCCTGACTGCTGGAGGCGTGCACCACCATGCCCAGCTCATAGAGAGCCACCTGCCTCTGCCTCCTGACTGCTGGAGGCGTGCACCACCATGCCCAGCTCATAGAGAGCCACCTGCCTCTGCCTCCTGACTGCTGGAGGCGTGCACCACCATGCCCAGCTCATAGAGAGCCACCTGCCTCTGCCTCCTGACTGCTGGAGGCGTGCACCACCATGCCCAGCTCAGAGAGCCACCTGCCTCTGCCTCCTGACTGCTGGAGGCGTGCACCACCATGCCCAGCTCATAGAGAGCCACCTGCCTCTGCCTCCTGACTGCTGGAGGCGTGCACCACCATGCCCAGCTCATAGAGAGCCACCTGCCTCTGCCTCCTGACTGCTGGAGGCGTGCACCACCATGCCCAGCTCATAGAGAGCCACCTGCCTCTGCCTCCTGACTGCTGGAGGCGTGCACCACCATGCCCAGCTCATAGAGAGCCACCTGCCTCTGCCTCCTGACTGCTGGAGGCGTGCACCACCATGCCCAGCTCATAGAGAGCCACCTGCCTCTGCCTCCTGACTGCTGGAGGCGTGCACCACCATGCCCAGCTCATAGAGAGCCACCTGCCTCTGCCTCCTGACTGCTGGAGGCGTGCACCACCATGCCCAGCTCATAGAGAGCCACCTGCCTCTGCCTCCTGACTGCTGGAGGCGTGCACCACCATGCCCAGCTCATAGAGAGCCACCTGCCTCTGCCTCCTGACTGCTGGAGGCGTGCACCACCATGCCCAGCTCATAGAGGCATCAATTCCCATATACTTGGGCTTTGTGGCCATCATTTTCCTCTCCCTTTATTCGCTCCTCACAAATGTAAATGCTTAAACTTACATACAGTCTGGTGTTTTGCTACCCTTCTTTCTGTGAAATGTAAATATTTTAAGGGATACTTAGATTATAAACATAAAAGCATTTCTCATCTAAAAAATAAAATAACCAGGGGCTGGGAAGATGGCTTGGTGAGTAAAGTGACAGCATTCCATAATCAGTGAGCTCCAGGGTCTGTGAGAACCCTTGACTCAAAAAAGAAAAAAAAAAAAAAGGTAGTGTCCACTGCCGCCTGAGGCCATGGTGACGTCTGGGCCGGTGCTGCCACTGAGGGCTATGTCTGGGTCCGTGGTGGTCCTACTGTAGCTGGTGATGTCCATGGCCTATGTGTCCACAGAAGGACATTCAGACGTCCATGGTCTGGGTTGTTACTTGAGGCCAACTTGATGTCCATGGTCCCTGTTGCCTCCAAGAGCCTTGTCTGAGTCTGTGACACTACTGCAGTGGGGGCCAACTCACGGTCTGTGTTGTCACCAGAAAACACATGAAAGCCCATGTTCTGTGTTCCTGCTGACTGTAAGGAGCAAGGAAACTACTTTTGCAGTGATACTGATGATTGCAGATGCACAGTTCAGAAAGAGGGACATGGAAGGCTTCTGTGACAACCCCTAACCCCCAACGCCCCTCCCTCCACCCAGTAACAGCCAAAACAAGAAGCCACCCAAGAGAACTGTTGAAAAGTGAGATAAGGGTGCTGAAGTTAGCTCTCCTCAGTTGATGGCTTCCGGCGGGGTTGCTGGCGGGGAAGGACTCAGTTCTATTTAAGCGGCAGGCCACTGAGAGTTTGACCATGCTCCAGTGAGTACATAGAAAGCACAAACTGGACTTGGTTTGTATTTTAATTTTAATTTTTTGGTGTTTTTGGGGGGAGGTCACAGGGTTGGGGTGCGGACATGGAAGGACCAGAAAATGAGTGTGATGGGGTTCATGATGAGAAAGAAGGTGGGGAGCAGTAGAGGAAGACACTTCATGCTGACTTTTGGTCTCCACATGCGCGCACACAAGCGAGCACACTTGCAGTGAATGCAGCACAAACACACACACACACACACACACACACACACACACACACACACAGCCTTGAGTGCATGTCTAGCAGGAAATGTGGAAATAAACGAACAATGCTTTGTAGGACTCTCAAAAGGCTTCAGCTCCTTGCAGTGCCTTTTGAGTTTCTGAGAAGGAAACAGTACCCAGAGGTCCCCAGACTTACCTGAGCACAGGGTGCTCTACTGTACCCATCTGGGGATCAATGACCTCCGAAGGTTGTTGTTGGGGCAGCCAGGGTGTCTTGGCTCACTTTGCTCAGCTGGGCCGGGTATTTCTAGGCTGCTCAGAGTCCCCAATGAAGATCACAAGGTCACCCACAGTACCTGAGAAGCTCTTACCCATAGCAGTGTGCAAGGGAAGACACTTATGTCTCGACTTGTCCTAGAAATTCATCATGAGGAATGGTGGGGAGAGACCTCCCCTCTGCTTCCCCTGCCCCAAATTCTCAGTATCTCTGTCCCCCCCAGCAAATGATCAGACAAGAACCGTGTTATTGTCCCAAGTGCCCAGACCAGACCATCACTCTTGGTTTTCTCTGATGTCCTCACAGTCATGCATGTCGCCCCCTGAGCTGGCGCATTCCCCTTTGCAACAAGCGCAACAAAGGCATTGCTGCTACCGTGGAATTTCCAGAGGAAAAGTTTCAAAGCCCATTAGATGCATCAGGTGCAATCAAGTAGACAGAGGTCTGCTTTAGAGCCACTGCTCCCAGAAGGCTACACTGTAATCCATACCGTGCCCTTCCAGGTGACAGTCCCTGTTCCCATGGGCACCCCATGCCACTTGCAGGTGACACAGCAACCACGTCCAGTGACCACAGGCTGTGGTGGGGGAAGATTGACAAACAAAGCTAGCAGGGATAGGTAGCGCCTGGATTCGAGCTTTAGGCACCTGGTTAAAACCTAAGGGGGAGGGGCTTACACAGGCTTCTGGATCTCATTGGGTATGCGTTCCTAGTCTGGGCTAGAGTTTTGCTGTCCAAGGGTGGCCCTGAATTCTACTCCCAGCAGAAATGAGACATGAGAGGACTGTAGTTTTGAATATACTGTTGAATATACTGTGTCTCTAGCAGGCTGGCTACTCCTAGGCAGGAGGATCAGCTGTCCTGGAGGCAACCTGGGACAGGCTAAAGGCTGGTGTGGACAGGATCCAGCACTGGCTGCTTCACAGCTATGGCTGCAGCGCCCCCTTGTGGACACATTATACACCAGGAAATTGTCAGATAAACTAGTTTTACAGCTGGGAGGGAAGTGCTCTTTCTTGGAAGACAGCACCTCCCCCAGACTCCTGTTGACCACAGAAGAAGATGCATAAGCCCAGGCTTGCACAGGTGGAACTTTGAGCCTCTGGCCTTCCTGAGTTCTTCCTCTTGCAATACTATGGGTTCAATCCTCTTTGCTGCCCTAGGAAGGCCAGGAAGCAGTCTGGAGTGTGGGTTCTGCTGCTCCCAGACAGGTTTTCTCTCATGATTCCTCTGGTCAGCATAAGGCTGGCTCAGCTGGACAGAAAAGGAAGCTGAAGGAGGAAGAAGTCGGCTCGGCTGCTGAGTGTCATGTCTCCATTGACCTCCAGGGGGTGCTGTGGAGCTGAGTTGGCCCAGTCCTGACCGCATCTGGGAAGACAAGAGGCATAAGGGCTAGTGTTCTATCACCTGGCTGCAAGGCTGTCATTGTCAGTCTCTCTGCAAACACTCCCCAGTCTGCACAGGGATGAAAGCCCAGTCTGATTCTGGTTTTGGAGGCCCAGAGTAAAGCATAGTTTGGCCCAGGGCTTACAGGGTGGGTCATGCAGTCGGCCTGTGGAGAGCCTAGCAGCTGCCTCTCTGTCTGGAGCAGAGATTGGCCTCCAAACTGCACACCCCTACCACACACATCCCAAGGCCAGGCTGCCGGTAAATGACAGCCTACACCTTAGGGCTTCGGACTCTAAGGGCTGTCTTTCCGCTTACGTGTCTACTGCGTTTGCTTAGGGAGTCTGTGAAGGTAGTGGAAGGCAGGGGCTCTAAACAGTCAGTGCTACAAACATGTGAGCCTCTGTTTCCTCATCTGTGAAATGGGTGGGAACCATTTCGCTTGGAAGTCAGTTGTAAGGCTGTAAAGAGACAGCGGATGCGGGTCAGGGTAGCTAGGTTTCTACGTGTGGGCTCATTCCTGGAGATTGGACGGAGGCAGTCAGAACCTGTTGTTACTCCCTGAGGCAGGCAGAGAGGTTATGAGAGGCCATGTCCTGGGCTGATGGGGCTGGGCCTTGCTACAGCACTCAGATGGCCAGGAATCCGTGCAGGGATTGAGGCCTGGCAGGGTGAGGGACAGGGCAGGTAGGAGGGGTGTTGGGTGAGTCACTCACTCCCCAGCTCAGCTCGGTGGGATGCGGAAGGAGCAGAGGCTCTGCTGCCTGGCAGCACCCGGTACAGACGAACCAGGTGGGGGAGGCAGCCTTGGGGAAGGGAATGGCACCCTGCCAACCACACCCACTGGCCAGGCCTTGCCTACCCTGTTTAACTCACAGGGTGGGGGCAGGGTGAAAGAGAAATGTGGCCTGGAAATCTCAACATGTGAGGCTGTGTGGGGCTCTGAGATGAGGGAGGGCTGGTGGCCTTCTTCTTCCTGTTTTCCATGAACCCTGATCATCAAGGCTTCCTTCCTTCCTGTGAGCTGGAGAGGAGGGAGGATGCTCATAGCTGCCCCCACCCCTTCTAAGATACGGGCTGCAAGTACCAGGTTTCATGTAGACTTTTGGACACACTTGGCCCCGGAGGTACTAGATGGAGGCTTAGGGTACCTGAGTGGGCTGTGAAATGAAGCATATCTTGATCAGAGAGGGAAGCTCCAGAGGTGGAGCACAGCAGGGTTCAGAGGAGGGAGGGAGCCTGGGCAGTGGGGCTACCTGGCAGAAGAGAGTCTGGGTGACAGGCCACTGCTTTAGCAAGATAGCACAAACCCCGACGCAAATGCACCATCTCTTTGTTTTTGAGGTGGGTCTCTCTAGTATCCCAGATTGCCATCAAATTCAGGATCCCCCTGCCTCAGATCAACTTTCTGAGTCCACCATGCCTGTTCCAAACTTGCTGCCTCACAGTTCTGGCGATGGGTGGGTGGTGGTTTACAAGTCTGAAATGGGTCATACTGTTAAAATCAGAGTGAAGGTAAGAAACGCCTTCCTTCTGGAGGCCGAGCTGGGGAGGGCTGAGAATCCACATTGATGGTTAACTGTTACCTTGACTGTTTTGAGAATCGATCAGGAGGCAAGGCTTTTGGTGTGTCTGGGAGCTTGTTTCCAGAGAGGTTTAACAGAAGCACGAGGACCCATCCTAAATGTGGGCAGCACCTTCGGGGAGGGTGAGGTCCAGGACTGAAAAAAGCAAAAAGACAAAGAGTAACAGGCTCTCAGACTTTAGTAGCACCCAAGATCTTAGCACAACTAACTCCACCATGAAAGCACCATTCGGGCCATAAAACTTGGGCACATGGACAGCACCACCAGCCAAAATGAAAACAAAGATCTGATTATTAATGTCCATAGTTCTGGGAACGTCTCTAAATGTACTAACCTTGCTTTTTGGCTTCTGTAGCTTTGCTTCTCATTAACGACTGTTCTTGTTTACTGAAGTATAACAACCCAGGATATAGTTTTTTTGTGTTTAAAAGCTCATCCCGAGAAAGGCTCGAGACTCTCTGGGATTTTGACAACCGGTGTAGTTGCCGGCCAGCTAACAAAGGTGTTCTGTTGCTTTAAATTCATGTTGGAGTAGTCTTGCCTAGTGGACACCCCTCAACAATCGAGCTTAAGCTCTAGTACATGGATTTCTGCTTCTTGGCTGTGGATGCAATGTGACCACTTGCCTAATGCTCACGCCTTCCCTGCCACCGTGGACTGCCCCCCCCTCAAACCTCAAGCGGAAAGAAATGCTTCCTTTGCCAGAGTGCTTCTGGTGGTTGTTTTGTCATAGCAACCAGGAAAATAACTAACCACACCACTTCCTTGTTTGTCCAGCCTCTAGAGCTGTTTGGATTCTTTCCGTGGCTGGAGGGCGCTTCTTCACAATGCATCATCTGGCCCCTGTTTCCATGACCACATCTCTTCTCTCTTGTTTCCATGACCACATCTCTTCTCTCTGATTTTGATAGCCCTCTGTCTCAGCCTCATAAGACCTTGTCACCATATTGCACCCAAGCAGATAGTCTACCCCCTGTCTCAGGATGTGTAACTTAATCACCTTCCGAGCCCCCTTTGGCTGAGTCTATGGGCTGGCTGCACTGTGCAGGGAGATGGAGGTATAATGCTGAGGTCTCAGACAGCCCCGGGAGGTGTGTATTCACGGGACATGTGCATCTCTGGGGGGCTGCTCATCTGCAGATGGCACTGGAGGTGGGCAACGCTGACACGTGGATGGCGAAGGAGGGGAGAACCAGCTGGTGGGAGAAGCAGCTGAACAAAGGTTGGGCGTGAGGGCGAAAGTGGCCCATGCCAGCTCTTATGGGTGATTGCAGGAAGGCTCGGCTTTGGGGAACAGGGCTGTAAAGCCTACTAGTCATGACCAGCAGCTTGACCCAGGCAAGTGTGTCCTGAGGGTTAGGGTAGGGGCTAGGGGGAAGCACCACATCTAAGGTCAGAGAAGTTTGTTTTGTTTTGTTTTGTTTTGGAGATGGGGGTCTTAATCTGTAGCCAGGCTGGCCTGGAACACGCGGCTGATTTTTCTGCCTCAGCCTTCTGAGTGCTGGGACAGCAGCCATGAGCTGCACGCCCAGCTTGAGAGAGGGACTGTATACTAACTTTGAAGAAGGAAGGGGACACAAGCCACAGACAATTGGGGCTCTCCGAAGCCAGACAGGTGATCCCCAGTCCTACAGCCTCCTGAAGGACACCTTCTGAAGATGCCGTGATTTTAGACATAAAATCAAGACTGACTGGGGTTGGTGGGCTGGGTGTCCAGAGTGTCACTGTTCAATGCTGATCCCTCTCTGACTCTTGTCACTGTCTATCCAAACATGCCTTCCAGCGCCACCACTGCCCACAGGTTTAGAGGCAGCACCCATCCTTTCTCCAGCCTTCTCGGTCTGAGGCCTCTAACAGTCTATATTCTGACCCCAAGCTGCATCCGAACACCCCACTTCTTTTTTCCATGCCAGGCTGCTCCTCTCTGCGTGGCTCAGGGCTTGAATTGACGGATGACCAGAGAATGACAGAGGACAGACGCACAGACACGTGTATAGAAATGAGATCCTGCAGCACTGAGCTTGCGCTGATGAAAGGCGCCAGCTACAGACAGCCCTGGAGCCTCAGCGAGTTTATTGTGCATGGGACAAGGAGGAGGAGGAATTAGCAGTCCCCGCAGCGGTGTCTGTAGGAGAGCAGAGTCAGCCGGTAAACATCTGCGGGGAGGCAGATGCTTTCCCTACACTCTGTCAGAATTCACACATGGACCCGAGGAAGGCTTCGCCAATTCCCACGGGCCTGAGGAATTCGAGGTCTTGTCAATCATGTACATTCACTCAGGACTCCAGCTGCCCCTTGCCTGTTCACCTGGGGCTTCTCTTCCTCCCTGCACCAAGCTCCTTCGGGTAGCTTTCTTTGTGTCAGAAACACCTTCCTCATACCCATCCCAGCTCCCTCCTTCCTGCTGCATAGTGAGCAGAGAGAGTAGGTTCCCTCCAGGCTTTGTGGGAGCATCCACTCCTGCTGTTTGGTTTGTCTCTGTTCTAGCATGATGGGCACTCAGTCCCCGCACTGGTGACGGTAAGAAGTAGCTATCAAACACTGAGGCTGACTGTGGGCTTTACACATAATTTTTCACTCAGCTCCCTCAAACACTGCAAGGTCAGTGCTTTTAGCCCCATTTTAGAGATGAGGAAACTGAGGCTGTGTGTGTGTGTGTGTGTGTGTGTGTGTGTAAGTACTGGCTTCACAGGACACACTTTTAAGTTAGCAGACCTGTCTCACACCAGGACCATTTTGACTTAAGGCCTGTGTGTGAAACCTGTGCTGTGCTGAGTTTATCATTGCCCACATATTGTAGGGGAGGAAACTAAAGCTTGGGGAGATTATACAACTGGGCCAGGCTAATGAGTGGCACTCAAACCAGGTGTGGTGCACTCCAAAGGTCAAGCTTGTCACTGCCTTCCCACATGGTCACTTATTAATCTTAACTGCTATGCCGCATGGCCTTGGCTTTTTAACTCTTTGTGTGGCTCTATCTCCCACCACTAACCGTCCTTCCCTGTAGGGAGTTCACTGGGGCTTGGATCTGCAGCCCATTTGTCTCTGTGCTCTGTACTTGGTGCAGGGGCTGGCTCCGAGTGCAGGCTGGCGCAGGAGCCAATGGGGGAAATGAACCATGCTTCCTGTGTGCTGCTTTGAGAAAGCAGGGAACTGTCAGGGAGGCCCCTTGCAGCTGCTACATCCAGAAGGGCTGAGGCTGTGAACCCCTTCTGAGGCCAGGCCTGGATCCCAGCTCTGCTCAAGCTTCTTGTCCCAGAGGAGTGTTTGAGCCTGGTGTAGTGGTGCATGCCTATAACCCCAGAAATTGGGGGACTGAGACAGGAGAATCAGGAGTTCAAATCTAACCTGGGCTACAGAGTGACACCCTGTCGGAAAAAGTAATCAAATCAAATGATTTGATTGGCATTGTTCTTACAAACATATTACAAATATGGAAGTGATCGTGCGTGTATAATGCAATTCGGAAACGCAAAACTACGAAGTGTATAGAGTTGAATGGCAGTCTCTTTGAATCCAGCCTCCCAACTCCCCTCCCTGAAGCATTCCTGGGCCGTCAATTTCTGCAGTAGCCGTCTGAAGATGCCGGCATATTTGCAGACATAGCTGTGTATAAGTGCTCCCCTAGAACACTTTGACAGCCAATTCCAGGGCCAGTGGCTCGGTGGGTAAAGGCACTCATTGCTAAGCCTGACCACCTGGGTTTGATTCCCAGGACCCACATGGTGTGACGTGGCTGGTGTTCCCACACCTCCATCCTCCATAATAAACAAACGCACTAAGAAATATCACACATGGTAACTGACGCTGTGCTTTCTGCCATATTTCTTTCCCGTTTCATACAATACATTGGACAGCTTCCCTACTGGCATCGCACAGAGTTGTCACTGCTCTTTGGTGATTGCCTAGTACTCCAGTGCGGAGGGGTGGGGCACAGTGGGAGGTATGCGCGGGTGTTCCTGGGTGGGGCACAGTGGGTGGTGCACACCGGTGCACAGGGGCAGTGCAGAGTGGGTGGTCAGGCCTTTCCAGTCTTTGACTGATACAAGCAACACTGCAGCGAATGTTCTTGAACACGTGTCATTTTACAAAGGTACATTCGAATGGTTCAAAAATTACCTTTAGGGAGGGTGAGATGTCTCAGTGGACAAAGGCGCTTGCTGCTAAACCCAACAATCTGCGTTCCATCCCTAGGACCCACATGGTGGAAGGAGAGAACCCCGTCTCCATACATGTGCTGTGCTCATCCCTACAATAAATACATGGAAAGCGTTGCATTTAAACCTTAAAAGATTGCTTTTTAAGAAAGAGAGGGAGAGTGGGAGGGAGAAGGGGAGTAAGGGAGGGAGGGAGAGAGAGAGAGGGAGAGGGAGGGAGAGAAAGAGAGAGAGAGAGAGAGAGAGAGAGAGAGAGAGAGAGAGAGAGAGAGAGAGAGAGTCTGTGTGCATGCGCACGTGCCCATGGAAGTCAGAAGAGAGTGTCAGATCCCTTGGAGCTGAAGTTACATGCTTGTGAACCACTTGATGTGGATACAGGGAACTGAACTCGGGTCCCCTGCAAGAGCAGTGTGTGTTCTTAACTGCTGAGCTATCTCTCAGGCCCACGTTTAAAATTTTGATACACAGCCAGGCAGTGGTGACGCACACCTTTGATCCCAGCACTCAGGAGGCAGAGGCAGGTGGATCTCTACGAGTTTGAACCCTGAGTTTGAGGCCAGCCTGGTCTACAGAGCAAATTTCAGGACAGCCAAGGATGCACAGAAAAACCCTGTCTCAGAAGAAAAAGAAAAAAGAAAAAAGGGAAAGCTTTTCTCAAAACAATTTTTTTGATACACACTGGAATGTAGTTATACTGGTTTTTTTATCACAGTCAAGGAAATGCGTGATGTCCAGTTCCCTAAATCCTTAACAAATACAAAGCTATCAATATCTTGTTTCCTTCACCTATATATTTACTTATTTTAAAGTTTTTGAAACTGAGTCTTGTTATGTAGTGCAGACTGCCCTTAAACACCAACTCTCCTTCTTCCCCTTCCCAGGCGCTGGGTTGCCAAACTCACACTGCCACGCCCAAACCACTGCACCTGCACAACCCTTGCCATGTCTGACCAGTGAAAAGTGAGATTTCCTGGCAATCTGAGTTTGCATGTCTCCTCTTGACAGTGAAGCTGGGTATTTCCATGTCTTTAAGTGCGGTTTGCATATCCTCTGGTGGGAGCTGTCTTCATAGTCTTTCCCTCCATGGCTGCTGGTGTCTTTCTTGCTTGTAGGCGCCTCACTGGGCTTGAGGATTTCAGCCTTCGGCCCATGACAAGGATTGTGAGTATGTCCCCGTGTTGTCACCTCCACGCTTTATGTTGAAAGAGGCTGCACATTCTTCACTTTCCATCTCTGCCTCTCGTTAGTTACCTCCTTGTCTTATCTCCTCCAGTGTGATCCCTCATATTCCCGTGAACTCTCACTAGTGTTATCTGGTTTATGGCTTGCAATATCCTTGCGAGGTGAGAGGTGACACTTTCAGGAGAGGCAGCTTTCACCCATGCCTCCTTGCATATCTGCACGCCTTGCAAACAGAGGCGCCGAAAACATGGGTTAGTGGCAAGCTGCTTGCTCTGTGAATGAGTGTATGTCTCTCTGGAGTAAATAGCACACAGCTTTGCCTAAGG